CACATACATACATACATACACTACTTGGACTACTATTCCTACTTAGCGGTTTTTCACTTATCACGGGGGGACTGAGAATGGAAACCCCCGCGATAAACGAGGGAAAGTGAACAGTATATAGAAGAAATTATATAAAAATGAAACGAACAGCTACATTATAAAGTGGTGTAAAATATTTAAAATAGGAACATGTCTGTGTTGTTTTTTTGCCATGAACTGCAGTTAATGGCTAAAAACCAACACAGTTGATAACATTTGTTTAAAATCCCTTAGATTGATCAGAGTCGACAACTCCAGATATTTTTGGAAGATGTTCCAGGTTACAGGAGCAAAGTAAGAGACGAAAGAAAAACAACGTTTCTAACTGGAAAAGAAAAACTGATTTTGTCTTTAGGTCTTTCCAAAGATGTTGATAGACTGTGTAAATTAAAAAAGAGGAACTTTATTCAGCTTTGTCACATTTTCCTGCACTAAGCAACAAACTTTGTTGTGTTGATAGTACTTCAAAATTAGACCGGACTAAGTTCACGCATTTAAACTCTGCTACCAAGACTCTACAACCTATTTTCAGCCTTTGTACTAGCCATGTGTTCTTACCAGTCTACTAATTTAACGCCTTTAATTATTTTTCGTTTCGCAAAAAACTAAGTATAACTGCTTCTCGTCTGTTAGAACTCATGGAGGAAGTCTTTCGGATGAAAGACGAAATGTATCTACATTTTTTTGCTTTGTTTCGTTTTTTGTTTTTTGAATGTCCAGAGGACCAGATTGAACTTTTTAGGATTTTTCTACCTGGATTATTGAGCATGCATCAGGATAACTCGTGGAATAGTTGACACAATTAACAATGTAGTATTTGTATTTTAAAATGCACCGTAGTTATCGAACTGGTTTGGCGAGTTTTTCATTTAAATATTTGTGTTTTACTGTGCTTCTTAGTTGTGTATGTGAAATGGAATCAACTCTTTGTATTGCATAGTTTCTTTCTCAATAATGGCATACCATGCAGTATTGGCTAATATTAAACGTCTACGCTTTTGCACATCATTGTTGTTTAGTTCGTCACTGTTTTCTAAACTGAACATGTGTTCCTGCATAAAAATGGTGACAAACTAAACTAGTGGTGTCATGCAAATGTGTAGCTTTATTAGTGCAACATTCTTTCACATCTTTGTGACTCTGCATAAGTTTTCAAAAGACCAGCAAGCATTAAATCTTGCTGCGTGCAGAAGACTGTGCCTACTTTGCTTTCAACAGGGGGAGCATAACAAAATCAGTACTTTCTTTCTTTCCATCACCCCTGCAGGGGACCAGCAGTTTGACCTCAGCTGTGCTTGTGTTAAAAATATATATATTAATGTAAACACAGCCAGAATATAAAGTAGAGAAATTTAATAAACAGTACTTTATGACTAAAGATCTCGCAGACTGTTTGCACATCTACATTGTTTTTAGAAGCACCAGTTGTGTTAACTTGAGTATAAAACTAATTATTTTTAAGTACGCCTTAAACATATTTGTAATTTGCATCCTTTTGTACGTCAAAACCTGTAACACTTCATGTCTCATTGAAGACGTCTTGTAGACTTAAGAGTCTTTTCGTAAATGGCCACAATTATTGTTCACACACAAGTGTTTATCAAATCAGCCCTGAAACTCCATTTTTTGACTGAGAAAGTGTAGTAGCTGAAAAAAATTACCCTAATACAATTAAAACATTGAAAACACACAAAAAATACATTGATAAAGGAGTTAAAATCCCATTTTGCCCATTTCTAATTTGTGTTCATCTCTCTTTTGGACCTGCAATATTCTTTTTAATCTATAATCAATGTTGGCAGCATTTTTTCCCCTTAAAAGACGATAAAATCTGAAGGCATAAATAAAATATTCTTTTGCAATTCCTCACTTTAGGAACGGCCTCCAGCCAACCTGTGGAAAAAGAGGGAACAATCAAGAGAATACAGGAATGACAACACCCTCAGGGATTACCAGCTTGAGGGAGTCAACTGGCTTCATTTCAACTGGTACAACAGGTTAGTGTTGGTCTATTTTAATTGTGTACCTGTGAAGACCTAAGGTGAAATTCATTGTCTAAAAATACCTGTTTTTATCTGTAGCACTGATTTTAAGTGTTGCTATTTAAGTGATGTGCTAGGAACCAAACAACTGATATTTTAAAAAGTGGAAAAAATGCTGAAGTACTAGTAACACATACTAAAACATTTCCATTATTTACATCCGTAAATGCAGTCTAAATAACATAAGTTTGTTTAGTATAGCATGTTAAAATGACTTTTCACATAGAGATCTTGTATTTCAAGCAGTCTTCTCTTTTTAAATTGTAAATAATGAATAAAAGGATTATTTCATATTTAATATACTGTTTGAGGACCATGTTTTTATTCTGTTCTATTTGTGATTATTGGGGTTACAAGAAGAGTCAAATTTGTTGTTGAGGCGCACATTGCTGTAAAAAAACAATCGCCTTTTTTCACCCACGTTCCCGTGAAGAAGTGCTGCACGGTGCATCAGGAGTAGAGTGTCAGCGTAGTTGCATTAACCCAGGGAATTAGTTTAGCTACGTGTGAGCGCA